TAAATACTTCCTGAGCACCTACTATGTGCCAGACCCTAGACTCAGTGCTGGGGAAATGGCAGCGTGTGGAACGGTCAAGATCTCTCCCTTGTGGAGCTGAGATTCCAGACGGGAGAGAGGCAATAGCCATGACCAGTAAGTGCGAATTACACAGTTTGTCAGGAGGCAGTATGCGTGCGTGTGAGGGAAGAAAATACACAACAGGACGGGGAGGGGTGGTGGTGGCTTCTAGACAGAAAACATGGTTTTAAATGGAGAAGCCAAGGAAAACCTCCTTGAGAAGGTGATATTTGAGCAGAACCCCAAGAAAGAGGAGAGAGAGGTCCATGTGCACACCTAGGGGTGGGTCCAGCAGGGGCTGGATGGTGCCTGGTGCGATGGAGGAGCCGCAGGGAGGTTGGTATGGCTGGAGCTGAGTGAGTGAGGGTAGGGGAGAGGAGATGATGAGGTCAGAGAGGTAATGGGGACCAGATGGAAGGGACTTATGGGGCTAGTGAGGACTTTGCTTTTGCCTGGAGAGAGGTGCTCCCAGGACAGTGCTCTGAGCCAGGCTGGCCCTGACAGGGCTCAGGTGGTCCCAGGCTCCCTCTGGCTGCAGGTGGGAACAGACTGAGGGCAGGGGGGGGGCAGACCAGGGAGGAGGCTCTAGGACCTCCAGGCTGGAGGGGACAGAGGCTGCGCCAGGGTAAGAGCAGTGGGAGGGGAGAAGTGGATGGCTCTGGAAATACTCTCTGGGGTCTTATCCCCTCTTCAAACCCTGCTGTCTGTTCCTGGGGCCCTCAAGGTTATGTGGGCCCCTGTTGATTTTTAGTACTCCCCGTGACCCCCGGCAATCACACAGGGTGTGTACGCGCCAGATGTGGGTTAAAATCCTGACTTCCCCTTCATAAACTGGGTGACTTGCTGCCAAGCAACTAAGCCTGGGTGCCTCAGTTTCCCCAGGTGGAAGAATAACTCCCCAAAGGCAGTTAAGTCCTGAGGCCGCAAGCGCCAGGGTTGTTGGTTGAGAATAGAGAGACAGTCAGCAATCGGGTCAATGACTCAGGCCTGAGCAGGGGTGTGGCACTGGCGCTGGCTGCCTTCTTGGATGCCCGGGTGCAGGGGGAAAGGGATGTGGAGATGGGCCCCGGCTGCCAGCAGGCAGTGCCTCCCCCCAGCAGAGGGTGCCAGCCAGGCTCTTAGAACTGCAGACTCATGGTCCTGCCTCTGCAGCCAGGAGGGTGCCTGCCAGCCCCAGCACCAGCCTCAGAGACTTGAAGCTCCTACCGGGCTGGGGCCCGGGCTGGGTGGCCAGGAGGGGTTAAATCATCCACAGACAGGAAGGAGCAGAGCTGGGACCCGAGGGGCAGTGGAACATGGAGAACTGATCCAGGAGGAAGGAAAAGGGAAACGCTGTGGGAGGGCCAACAAGAACACAGGCTTGTATTAAAAAGATAAAAATATATAGATAAATTATTTAATATATACTATATAGTAATATACATAAATATATAGTTTCTTAAGTTCAATTAAATTCTGTTTCCTTAACTGTTTGTTTACCTGGTTCAAACTTTACTTTTCCCTCCACTCTTTTGGTGTTTTTTATCTTGTGATTTATTATTTTGTGTTAATTTTAATATTTTATTTTTAAGGGCCAGGCACGGTGACTCACGCTTGTAATCCCAGCACTTTGGGAGGCCAAGGTGGGCAGATCACTTGAGGTCTGGAGTTCAAGACCAGCGTGACCAACATGGTGAAACCCCATCTCTACTAAAAAATTGCAAAAATTAGCCGGGCTCTCTTCCTGGATCCTCAGGCGGATGCGCCCTCTCTTCCTGGACTTGGGAGGACAGTACGGGGACCTCTGCTGTGAAAACCACGCCCTAAGGCACCTCCAAGGCTGCACCTGTGCAGTCCGTGCTGTACTCATGGCCTTGTAGGTAGAAAGCAGCTCTGAGATGGGAGGTGACCAGAGCAAGTCTGGGATGGAGCAACCCCAAGCCCCACTCTCCCTCCCTCCCTCCCTTCCTCCCTCCAACCCTCCAATCCTCCCTCCCCCCACCCCTGCCGTGAAGCCTCAAACCAGGCAGAGCTGGGGTGTGGGTCACCCCAGGGTGACAAATCTGCCACCCCAGCAATGGCTTCCAGGTGGAAATGGGAGTCCTTTTAGGCCAGGCCTTTCCCGAGTTGCTGGAAACACAGCTTGTTATGTTGAAACGTCTGCTGTTGAAATGTTAGCAATTCTGCATTTTTGCAGCGCTTTGTAAACTAAAGGAAAGGTGTAACGGTTGGATTCCACCCTGGGACCGCCAGTTTGAGACCCTTCTCTTAGGGATGGAGTCAGGCTGGGAGGGGGCTGCAGGGCTCCCACTTGAACCAGATAGTCCCTGTCCCAGATGTCTAGTGACAAATGTGTTCCCTGCCCTCTCCTGCTTCCCTGTAGCTCCTGCCCACACCCAGGACCCCCAGCCATACACCTGACCTTCACTGCCCTCCCCTGCTTTGATGGGGAAGCTGGCTAACAAATCCATTCCTCCATGCTCCCTGCCCCCATCAGCAGCTCTGCCCTCAGCACCCCACCTCAGCTCCTGCAAGGCCTCCTCAGATGGGGGTGGGGGTGGGGGTAGAGGAGAAAACCTTTCTTTTATAATTCTTTTAAATTTATTTTTATTTTTATTTTTTTAGAGATGAGATCTTTCTATGTCGCCCAAGCTGGTCTTGAACTCCCGGACTCAAAGGATCCTCCCACCTCGGTCCCTGCAAAGTGCTGGGTCTATGGGTGTGAGCCACTGTGCCCAGCCTGGTAATTAACAGATACTTCGTGAGCACCCACTATGTGCCAGGCCCTATTCTATAATTCAGATGAAAATTCCTGAGAGGAGCGGAGGCACTAGCAGGGGAGGCAGATAGCACCACAAAACAAGCAAACAGAGGCCGGGCGCAGTGCCTCACACCTGTAATCCCAGCACTTTGGGAGGCTGAGGTGGGTGGTTCATGAGGTCAGGAGATCGAGACCATCCTGGCCAGCATGGTGAAACCCTGTCTCTACTAAAAATACAAAAAATTAGCCAGGCATGGTGGCACGTGCCTGTAGTCCCAGCTACCCAGGAGGCTGAGGCAGGAGAATGGATTGAACCTGGGAGACCCTGACATCTCTAGCCCAATCTTGCCCAGGAAGTGGGACCTTGTGTATGGCTGTGACCGCACCTCTCAGGCAGTCAGCCTGGCCGCTCAGACTCTGCCTGCAAAGGCAGAGCTCCACCCAACCAGCACCCTCTCCTGGCTGGGGGTGCCTCCAGGCTGCCCTCTCTAGGGCAGGGAGCCTGCAGAAACACTCTCAGCCTTAATTAAATAAAGAGCAATGAAATTATTGAGACAAAATCAATAAAAGTTTGAATCAGTGGTGGTATAACATGCTATGACATTGGTTTTGTGCTTCAATTCGGCGTTCCTGAAAAGCCTGTGATATTCAGAAACTATTTGTAGATTTGTTTTTTTTTCATTTTGCAAGGATTCCCAGGATATGGAGAAATCACAGCCATTTGCAGCCTCAACAGGTTCTTCGGGGCCAAATGATTCCAAAAGCAAAAAAAAAGAACATTTAGCCGGGCGCGGTGGCTCAAGCCTGTAATCCCAGCACTTTGGGAGACCGAGGCGGGTGGATCACGAGGTCAAGAGATCGAGACCATCCTGGTCAACATGGTGAAACCCCGTCTCTACTAAAAATACAAAAATTAGCTGGGCATGGTGGCGCACGCCTGTAGTCCCAGCTACTCGGGAGGCTGAGGCAGGAGAATTGCTTGAACCCAGGAGACGGAGGTTGCGGTGAGCCGAGATCGCGCCATTGCACTCTAGCCTGGGTAACAAGAGCGAAACTCCGTCTCAAAAAAAAAAAAAAAAAGAACCTTTTTCTAATATGTTTATTATCTATATTATATGCAATATATTAATATATGAAACCTATTACCTCTGTGCCTTTAAAACATAACTGAAGTCAAATTGGCCGGAAGACTCACTCCAAACCAAAGGACACCTCATTCCTGATAGGGGGCAAGTGACTGCACAAACTCCGTTCCCCATAGCCCTTTTTCTTCTTTTTTTCTTTTCTTTTCTTTTTTTTTTTTTGAGATGGGAGTCTCACTCTGTCACCCAGGCTGGAGTGCAATGGTGCGATCTCAGCTCACTGCCCCCTCCACCTCCCGGGTTCAAGCGATTCTTGTGCCTCAGCCTCCCAACTGGGATTACAGGCGCCCACCATCATGCCCGGCTAATTTTTGTATTTTTAGTAGAGATGGGGTTTCAGCATGTTGCCCAGGCTGGTCTCGAGCTCCTGACCTCATGGTCTGCCCACCTCAGCCTCCCAAAGTGCTGGGATTACAGGCGTGAGCCACCTCACCCAGTCCCATAGCCCTTTCTAAGAGTCTCTGTGTGCTCATCACACTGGGGTCTCAGAATCCTCCTCAGCCCCAGCCCAGCCCCAGCCCAGCCCCAGCCCCAGCCTAGCACACACTTGGATGCAGCATGTTCATGTCCAGCCCAGGAAGAATTTATGGCTGACCTGGCTTGTGTAAAATCCCGTAAACATCTGTACGTCAGAATGTAAGATCATGGTGTTTAAAACTACAGAACATTGAGAGATTGTCAGAAGGCTCTAATTGCTGGTTTCCGGATTGAAACCAGCCGTTAGATGTGTTTTGCTTGACCTGGAAAATTTTTTAAAAATTCGAACCCAATTTTAAAAATTAAACCTCTTTAAGGTAGTACATTTTCAGGATGCAAAATTCAAAAACTACAAGAGGGCTCGTGATGCCGAGTGAGTCTCACTTCCACCCCATCGTCCAGCCTCCCAGTTCTCCTCCCCAGAAGCAGCCCTGGATGCCAATCCCCAAAAATATTTTATTCATTAGAAGTATATGCATATGCAATATTTTACCGCTCACAAATGACAGCACGCTCCAGGGTTTCCCTCCACCTTGTTTTTATTTTTTCCCTTAGCAATCTGTCTGGAAAGTACTTCTGTATCCATCCATGGGCAGTGGGATTCCTCCAGGAGTTTTAGACAACCGTTCTCCTGTTCACCCTGTTCAGGTGAAAGGCAGAGCTCCCCCCACCCTCCCCAGCTACTCTGCCCACACCACAACTTGCTCTCAGATGCCTGCAGTTCCCAGGCTTCCCAGCAGAGGGAGAAACCATTCCACTCCCAAGACCCCCAAGGGGTCGTCCCAGACACAATCAAGCTTGAAGGGTCTGGGGAAAATGCTATCTGCCCAGTCACAAAGACCCCCTTAGCTACACTGACTTGGCCCCCAGGCCTCTCCTTCCTGTTTCTATCTCTTCCTGGGCCTCTTGCTTGGAGCCCTACCCTGAGGGCCCTCCCTTCCTTGTGGGGACTGACCCCTCCTTCACAGGGGTAGGAGGGAGCCTTGTCCTTGTCTAGGGAAGGCCTGGGATTGACAGCTTGCCCCAGGGAACCACAGAGAGAAAGGGTGTAGCTCTGGGTGAGCATTGCCCACCCCCATCCCTCCTCGATGGGAACTGGGGTGGGGGGGTCCTTCTCTCTGTCCCCAGCAGGCCAGTTCCCGGCAGAGCCTTGACCCGAACCCCCTTTTCCTGTCCTGTGCTTCACACTCCCAGCAGCTGCCTCTCCCTGGCCTGGCCCTGTGGCCCTCCTCCCCGCCCCCACGATGGTGTTGGGGTCGCCTGGAGTCCAGCTGGTGGCCAGGGCAGAGCTACCCCTTTCCTGGCCCTACCCCTCCCCGTGACCCCAATCCTCCGCCAACCGCTCAAAGAATCCTTGTTCTCCATCCAGCCCCCAGACAAAAGTCCCTCTGTCTAAGAAGGCGGAATTGAGGGGAGGGGGCACCCCCAACCGGGACCATGGGAGGGCCTGCACAGACCCCATCCGGAAGGAATGCCTGGAGGAGGAGAGGCAGGAGAGGGAGGAGGGAAGGGGGAGGGGGACTCGCACAGTGCAGGGGCCTTATCTGGACTGGGAGGCTGCCGCCCCCAGCAGCGCCCACTCTGTAGACCCAGCCATCTGGCTCTCAGCACCCATGGAAAGAGCCTGGCTAGGAAACTTCAGCCTGATGCCTGGGAGCCAGTTCTCATTCTCCCCAGGGCAGGAAGCGGGTGATGACCAGGCCTAAGGTCCCACAGTCCCCACCCCAACCCCTCCCTGCCATTCCAGCCGCTCCCCCATATCCATCCCTGCCCCATCTCCTGACTTTGGTCATCCCAGCATCTTCTGCTGACCCTGAAACTGTACCAGCAAGCAAGATGTGGCCTGGAAGGAGACTTTAAGTTCCCCACAATTGCCAGCAATCCTTCCATCAGGCAAACACATCATCTAAGGAAAAGAAGTGAGGTCGAAACACCAACGCATCACCACCATCGTCCCTCCATGGCCCGGGAGGCTCTGTCCTTTAAAGACCCCGGAACCTGCAGGGTGACGTGTCTCACGCCTATAATCCCAGCACTTTGGGAGGCTGAGATGGGTGGATCACCTGAGGTCGAGAGTTCGAGACCAGCTTGACCAACATGGAGAAACCTTGTCTCTACTAAAAATATGAAATTAGCCAGGCGTGGTGGCACATGCCTATAATCCCAGCTACTCGGGAGCCTGAGGCAGGAGAATCACTTGAACCCAGAAGATGGAGGTTGTGGTGAGCTGAGATTGTGCCATTGCACTCCAGCCTGGGCAACAAGAGCAAAACTCTGTCCGAAAAAAAAAAAAAAGACCCCCAGAACTTCCCCTTTTAAGGTCCTCTCCTGGGATCAGGAGACTGGATAAACTCCTTCCTTAATTCCAGAGGCCGAGTTCCAGCCCATCTAATTCTCCTTCTCACCTGAGGCTGCTGTGGCCCTGGGAATCCCAGGGAGCAACCTGATGCCTGAGGCTGGGGAGGGGGTGAAGCTGTCTCTTTAAGAGCAGGAATGGAGCCCCTGGGCCTTAGGGCATCTAACTTGTTTTCTACCTGCCCAGGTTTGCTTAGGGCGTGGCAGCTTCGGATAAAGGCAGGACTCCGCCTGGCAGCCCCGACTTCTGGAACCTCTGATCAGCCTGGTGAACCACATAGGTGAGCAGCTGGGGCCCCTTCCTCCAAGCCCTCCCTGGCTCTGCCCCTAAATTAGGGAGAACCTACCCACCCACTGCCCCCACCACATAGAAGCTCAGCTGTTAAAGAGCATAAAATCTTTTGAGGTGCGTTTCTGGAGCCAGGAGATAGGAGAAAGACCCTTCCCCTAATGGCCCTTTCCCCCTAGCCTCCTCTCAGCGACTGGTTGAGCCGGCTGGGTGAGGGCAGAACCTGTAAGTGCGGTTGGGTTGTCTGGGAAGACTGAGGCCTGCATGGATTGGGGGTATCTGGGCTGGGGATATCTGGGTGGAGAAGAGGGGGTACCTGGGTAGGTAGGGGTATCCAAGTGGACCAGTGGTGTGTAAATGGACTCGGGGCATCTGGATGGATAAGGAGTGCTGGGTGGACCCAGGGAGTCCAGGCATTGCGGGGAATCTGGATTCTGGAGACCTCTAGGAAAAGAGGATGGGGCTGCTGGGGGAAGCTGTAAATGGGGAGTTGCTTGGGAAGTTTGAGGTGCACAGAGTGGGTGGGACCCTTCTGCTCACCCTTGAAGATGAGCCCCTTCTCCCATGTCATGGAGGAATTGGGGATAGCAGAGGGCAGGTTGGGGAGACAGTCCTCAGGTGGGCACTGGGACCTCGTGGCCAGGAAGAATCACAGCAGGTGGACAGAGTGCCAGCTGCAGGGCCGCCTTCCTCTCTAACCTGCCCGCCGACCACATCGGTTCAGGAGCAGCTGGGGCCTCTTCAAACAACAGCCTGAACAGGGGATATGAGGGCAGACCCAGCTCCCGGCTCCCCGCAGCCTCCGGAAATGTGGGGCTGGACATTGTTATGCAGAGGCTGGGCGAGGCAGATACCATCTGTCAGTCTCGGCTGGATGACAACATGGGAAGGGGGAATAGTGGGGCGTCGCAGGCCAGAGGTGGCTTGGAGGAGCCCCCGGAAAGAGGCTTAAGAGGTGAGACTCAACAGCCACGGTGACAGAGCATAGGACTTTAAGATGAATTTGCAGGGTCACAGGATTACAGCTGCAGAGTGGGCTAATCATAGTGCCCCTGCATGAAGCTGCAGAGATTATATGAGTTAAAAAGTGGGAAGCTGAGAACACGCCCCGCGGGCAGACACTCAGCCCGCATCTGCGGGGATTACCAGGATTCATATGGTCGTGGGTGACAGCTTCAGACCACAGGCAGGCCACCTACCACCTGTGCCCATATCCACCACGTGGTCTTGCCCACCCACCCATGCCAGCTCCCCCACCCCCACTCTCTTGGGGGTTCTAAACACTTCTTGGGCCTCAGTAAAGCTCCCAAAGTCTCAGGCTTTCTTCCCCCCCAAGCCCCCCAAAAAAGGAAAAGAAATGGATGCTCAAACTAAAACTGTGAGTCCAGCATCTGGAATTAACCGGGAAGCGGAGAGGATTCCCAGGCCCCGGGGGGGGGGGGGGGGGCAGAGGGAGGAGTCTGTGCCAACCAGCAGGGACCACCCGCACCATTGGGTGCTGGCAGCACCCTCTCTCAGCATTTCTGCCATCTATGAAATGCAGACTAGGGGATGACCTCAGGGTTGCTGGGAGGTTAGGTGAGGGAGAACACAGCAAGGTCAGTGTGCACCCCAGGGCGAGGGCGAGGAAGTGCCAGCTCTCGCTATCAAAATTGTAACTAGGCCAGGTGCGGTGGCTCAAACCCGTAATCCCAGCACTTAGGGAGGCCGAGGTGGGCAGATCACCTGAGGTCAGGAGTTTGAGGCCAGCCTGGCCAACATGGTGAAACCCTATCTCTGTTAAACATACAAAAATTAGTGGGGCATGCTGGCGCTTGCCTGTAGTCTCAGTTATTCGGGAGGCTGAGGCAGAGGTTGCAGTGAGCTGAGATCATGCCACTGCACTCCAGCCTAGGCGACAGCGCAAAACTCTGCCTCAAAAAAAACAAAATTATGATAACTATGTGCTCAGCAGTTGGGCAGAGGCAGGGCGGGGAAGGGCATGCACAGCGTCCAGGGGCTTGCTGCAGTCTCGCAGGCTGGGGGGAGGGCAGGACTGATGCCAGGTCAGGAGGGAGAGAGAAACGCGTTCCTTTTGCTGAGCAGGCCTGTCTGGGAAAGAGAAAGTGTTTGCTGCCTCGAGGGCCTGGGGTCAGGTCAGGGGCTGGGCTGGGGACCCAGGCTAGGCAGGGCCAGGGCTGGGACTGGGAAGGGCGAGGGTGGGGGTGAGGGGATGGGAGGTTCAGGGGAACATGCAGCCAAGCCAAGTTTGTTTCCCTCTACCCACAGTCCCAGCCTCAAGTCATCTCCTTCCCACACCCTGCCCTGAGCAGCTTGAAGAACCTGCTCAGTCCGCAGCCTGAAGTCTGCCGTGTCCTGGCAGGGCCAGGCAGGCTCCGAGCTGTCTGTGGAGACACTCTGGGGAATCGGGCCTCCTGCCACCTGGCTCCCAGCACCCCGCTTCCCCAAACACCCAAGGCCCTTACAGCCCTGAGTTAGGAGCAGCTGCTGGGGAGCCAGGCCTGCTTTAAATCCTGCTTCCTGGCGAGGGCACCTAGTTTCACCTCTCAGAGCCTCAGTTTCCCCATCTGTCCAATAAGGGTAACAGCAGGCAGTGGCACCCCCGTTTGGTGGTGGGCGATTCACGGAAAGCCTGAAGTCGGTGTCCAGTGAGTTATTACGGCTGTTCCCGAGTCAGGCCTGGGTTCCACCCAGGCCCCACTCCATGGCACGGCTGCTCTCAGCCCAGCGAGTCCCAGTGCCAGCCTGCCTGCCCGGGGTGAGCTGCACACCCCACCTGGGCAGCAGGGGAGGAGGGTTGGGGAGCCACAGGCACAGGGCCAGCATCCCAGTGGCGCTGCTAAGGCCAGACCTCCCGCCACCCCTCTAGGCCAGCACTCTGACATGCAGAAGGTGACCCTGGGCCTGCTCGTGTTCCTGGCAGGTGAGTACCCATCCCTCCACTGCTTTTTCCCCTGGATCCCCCGGCTGGGGGACAGCCAAGCCTCTGTCTCTCTCCTGTGCTTTTCTACCTCCCCAGGGAGATGGTAAATGTTAGGACAGCATCTCCTTGAGGGTAAGAAAAGTCAAACTGGCCATATGCAGTGGCTCACACTTGTAAGCCCAGCTCTCTTGGAGGCTGAGGCAGGAGGATCACCTGGGTCGGGAGTTCGAGACCAGCCTGATCAACACGGCGAAACCCCGTCTCTGCTAAAAATACAAAATTAGCTGGGTGCAGTGGCTCTCTCCTGTAACCTCAGCTCTTTGGGAGGCCAAGGCGGGTGGATCAAGTGAGGTCGGGAGTTCAAGACCAGCCTGACCAACATAGAAAAACAAAATTAGCCAGGTGTGGTGGTGCGCGCCTGTAATTCCAGCTACTTGGGAGGCTGAGCAAGGAGAATTGCTTGAACCTGGGAAGTGGATGTACAGTGAGCTGAGATTGCACCATTGCACTCCAGCCTGAGTGAAACTCTGTCTCAAAAAAAATTAAGAAAAGTCAAACCAGTGATTGCCAGGGAGACACAGGAAGAGCTGGCTTGCACAGCTGCAAAGTCACCGTCTTCCCCATTCTCTCACTCTCTTCTGTTTTTTTTTTTTTTTCCTGAGTCTCTATTGCTCAGGCTCGAGCGCAATGGCACGATCACAGTTAACCATAGCCTTGAACTCCTGCGGTCAAACAATCCTGCTCTCTTAGCCTCCTACACAGCTAGGACTCCAGACACACACCACCATGCCCAGCTTATTTTTAAATGTTTTGCAGAGATGGGGTCTCACTATGTTGCCCAAGCTGGTCTCAAACCCCTGGCTGAGTTTGATCCTCCCACTTCAGGCTTCCAAAGTGCTGGGATTACAGGTGTGTGCCACCACACCAGCCCTGATTGACTATTAAACAGAAATAAGGGCAGCTAGAAGAAATGACACCTTCAAAGCACTGAAAGAAGATAACTCTCCGGCCAGTTCTCTTGTAAATTTTCTAAAAACTTGAAGGAGCAGGCTCGGCTGCGTGCAACTGCACCTTTAACACCTTCCAACATACATTTTTTTCCTTTTTTTTTTTTGAGACAGAGTTTTGCTCTGTCACCCAGGCTGGAGTGCAGTGGCATGATCTCGGCTCACTGCAACCTCTACCTCCCAAGTTCAAGTGATTCTTCTGCCTCAGCCTCCAAGTAGCTGGGATTACAGGCGTGTGCCGCCATGCCTGGCTAATTTTTGTATTTTTAGAAGAGACATGGTTTCATCATATTGGCCAGGCTGGTCTCCTGACTTCAAGTAATCCTCCCACCTTGGCCTCCCAAAGCTCAGGACTACAGGCCTGAGCCACTGCACCCAACTCTTTTTTTACCTTTTCAATGCAGCCTTGACCTCCCAGGCTCAACGGATCCTCCCACCTCAGCCTCCCAAAGCTCTGAGATTACAGGCATACTTTTTATCCATTACGTAGGGCAAGACTAGTATTCTCCGCAGGGTAGTGATATAAAATCACATTTTCAATAAAGTCTATTTAAGTGTATAATAGTCAGTCACTTTCAATAATGTGCAAACACCAGACCAGGTGGGTGTAGATATGGCGGAAACAGGAGGATGGGCTTTGAGCATGATAGGATTTGGGGAAACAGGAAGCTGGGAACTGAAACCATCTGTCATCTTGACCAGAAAAGTCCCCCGCTGCTGCAGGAGGCATAGATTAACCACGTGTCTGGAAACATGAGACCAAACGGTGGCCAAAAACCTCCCAGATTAGACCCAATTTCAGGTGGCAGAATGCTGGCTTGACTCGGAGGTGTGGGGCTGAGTGGGCGAGTCCACATTTCCACTATGGGATAAGATGGGATGAGGCGGCTGCTCAGTGACCCGACCCCTGTCCCTCAGGGGACCCTTTCCCGAGGCCTCTGAGGCTCCAAGGGCTTGGCTGAGGCCAGCATCACCATCTCTGCTCCCTCCCCTCTTCTCCCACCAGGCTTGCCTGTCCTGGATGCCAATGACCCGGAAGGTGAGTCAGACTGGACTCTTTCACCCGTCCCACCCCCAAATTCTCCCTGAGGGGGCCCTGATTGATAACAGCTCCTGGCTGTTATCCTGGATTCATGATCTTATTTCTTTCTTTGCAGATAAAAACAGTCCTTTCTACTATGGTGAGAGCTGGTGCCCCCATTCCCTTCCCTTCAACCCCACATATTGCTTTGGTGTCAAGGGTTCCCACACAGGGTTGGGTGAGGGTCTGATGTGAGCATCACAGGACAAAGATAGGATGGAGGCAATGAATGGTCCACACGGTGGATTAAAGGAACTAGAGGCGGCAACCTGGCTTTTGGGAAGGTTCTATTCCAGCAAGATGGTTAGACACAAGCAGGAGGTGAGGACAGTTTGGAAGGACCCATTGTTTGGTTCAGATCAACTGCTGGGAGAAGTGTTGACTTGAGAAAACTTCCTGGACTTCAGGCAGCAGCTTCGCTGGAGGCAGTGAGCAATTCGGTCAAAACCCCCATCTGGCCTCCAGGTTCCAGTGACCTGCTCCGCACTCCCCGCTCTGCCCTCGCCTCCTCCACGCTCCTCACTCCTGCTCCAAGCCTCCCAGACACAGCAGACACACTGCCAGCCTCAGACCTCTGCACTTGCTGCTTCCTATGCCTGGAACACTTCCTTCCATAGACCCGCATGGCTCCCTCCCTCACCTCTGCTCAGATGCAGCCCCTTGAGAGGCCTTCACTTACTACTCCCTCTAAAAGAGCTGCCCCCTGACTTAATTTTTTAGAGACAGGGTCTTAGTCTGTTGCCCAAGCTGGAGTGTAGTGGCGTGACCATAGTTCACTGCAGCCTCAAATTCCTGGGCTCAAGCAATCCTCCTGCCTCAGCCTCCTGAATAGTTGGGACTGCAGGCGTGCACCACCATGCCTGGCTAATTTTTGTATATTTTGTAGAGATGGGGTCTCGCTATGTTGCTCGGGCTGGTTTAGAACTCCTGAAGTCCGAAAGCACTGGGATTATATTAGGTTGGTGCAAAAATAATTGTGTTTTTTTGCAACTGCTTTTAATGGCAAAAATGCAATTACTTTTTTTTTTTTTTTTTGAGGCAGAGTTTTGCTCTGTCACCCAGGCTGGAGTGCAATGGCGAGATCTCGGCTCACTGCAACCTCTGCCTCCCAGGTCCCAGGTTCAAAGGATTCTCCAGCCTCAGCCTCTTGAGTAGCTGGGATTACAGGCACCCGTCACCACACCTGGCTAATTTTTGTAGTTTTAGTAGGGATGGGGTTTTATCATGTTGGCCAGGCTGGTCTCAAACTCCTGACCTCAGGTGATCTGCCCACCTGGGACTCCCAAAGTGCTGGGATTACACCTCACCCAGCCAAAAACGCAATTACTTTTGCACTATCCTAATAGGTGTCAGCCACAACGCCCAGCCTGCCCTCTGTCTTTCCAGCTCCCACCCTGCTTATTGTTCTTCCGACCACCCATCTCCGCCTGACCCCGATGACATCTTGTTTGCTGGTGTGCGCACTAGAATGTGAGCACCTCGGACTCTGTTTTCTTACTGTGGTGTTCCTGGCACCCTGCGCATCCTAGGTGCTCCATACGTATTTATCAAGAGGATGGGAGGATGGATGGGGAGGACACAGCCTGGCACTGAGGTCCTCTCCTCTTTCCTCCTAGACTGGCACAGGCTTCGGGTTGGCGGGCTCATCTGTGCCGGGGTTCTGTGTGCCTTGGGCATCATCATCCTCATGAGTGAGTGGAGGAGCTGGGGGAGCAGGTGGGGTGGGGCTGGGGCTTCCCTCCCCTGACCACTCACCTCTCCCTAACAGGTGGGAAATGCAAATGCAAGTTCCGCCAGAAGCCGGGGTAAGATGTGTGCTGTTCTGGCATGCCCGCCTGCCTCAGCCTGGCTAGATGCTTTCCAGCCTGAAAGGGCTAGCTCTCCCAGCAGGAGAGGCCTCCAGACTCTGCCCCGCAGAGTTCCTGCCGCTAAGATTTCCCAGGTTCATTGTTTCTAGCTGGTAATCCCCAGAGGGCCCCAAATCCTGAAATGCATTAGCCCCTGGGATTGCACAACCCCCCTCCCCGCCCCTCCCCCCCCAGTGGAAAAGCAGCCAGGAAAACAAGTCTGGACAGGCTGAGAACCCTCTACCTGGAGGGACAGGACAAATGGGGTGGACAAAGGTCTCACCACTTTTGTCTCCTTAGTCACCGTCCAGGGGAGGCTCCACCTCTCATCACCCCAGGTAAGATGGACAGCACGGAGCTGAGGGGAACACGGAAGTGGGGTGTGTGTGTGTGCGCGCGCGCGTGCGCGCGCAGGCCCGCACATGCGCATGCACACTGGAAAGAAAGAACTCTGTCCACCCTCACAAACTGACCCCATCCCTCTCCCAGGCTCAGCCCATAACTGCTGAGGACAGACCAACTGAAACTGGGTGGAGGACCCTTCTCTGTCCCCGGGTCCTGTCTCTGCACAGAAACTTGAACTCCAGAATGGAATTCTTCCTCCTCGGCTGGGACTTCTTGCACAGAAAGGCCTCATCATCTCATCTCTCGTGGGAGGGTCTCTTTGTTCAATTTTTAATCTAAAATGATTGTGCCTCTGCCCAAGCAGCCTGGAGACTTCCTATGTGTGCCTTGGGGTGGGGCTTGTGGCGCCATGAGAAGGTCGGTGTGCCCTGGAGGCTGGCACAGAGGCTGGCAGCTGAGCCTGCTTGTTGGGAAAAGCCCACAGGCCTGCTCCCTTGTGGCTGGTTGCACGGCACAGGCCTGCATTCTGCCTCCTAGACCCTGGGAACCTCATATGCAATTTGGGATTTACTAGTGGCCAAAAGGAATGAAAGAGAGCTCTAACCAGATGGAACACTGGAACATTCCAGAGGACCCTGGACCATCCCAGGAAAACTGGGACATAGGATCATCCCACCATGATGGCAGTGTCCAGACAGTTTATAAAAGTAAGACCCTGTGACCCTCTCACTCACCCCTGAGACCTCACTTTATTACAAGATCTTTCCAAATACCCAAATGTCCCTGCAAGCCTCTTAAATAATTCCCTATGCTGCCCTTAATTATACACAATGGCCGCATAGCGTGAGAACTTCCAACAAGCCTCAAACTCCCTTGAGACTCCCCAGTACCTAAAAAGGCATCCAAAATGTTCCCGTGAACCACCTCACAAAATGCCTAAAACTCAAAACACCCGAAAATATCTCCTCCAATGTCCTGAGACATGAACCCAAAAAGAGACCCAAATAAACTCGTGACTTGTCCCCTCATCATGCCTTTTTATCCCTCAAACATCCCCTGAGTCCCTCCATAACCACGAGTCCACCGCCTGGGCCCTTCCGAGCACTGCTCCAGGGACACCACTTCCGCTTTCACAAGATACCCTCTCCCAGGGATCCACAACAGTGGGCGGGGCGGGTGCACAGCGCATTTATTGAGCTCGGATTCTTCTTGTCCTTGCCCCCGTCGCCCATCCGGGAGGGCACCGGGATCCCTGCGACATTTCTCGCTGGCACGCCTTGTGTCCCGCGCACGCGCAGGAGGCGCAAGAGGCACAGCGCCCAGGGCGGCCGCACGCATGCGCACAAGCAGCAGAGGGGAACCCGCCCAGCGCTGAGTTGTCTTCGAGTTTGGCGCTTCTCCAGGAAAGCAGATCGGCTGTGTGGAGTTTAGAATGGGAAAGGAATGCCATCAATCCCCCAGTGCTTTCAGGGGGACCAGGGTGGGAGAAGGTTGAGAGGGGAGCTTCCAGACCTCATGGAGCTCTGCACGTGACCCCCACCTCGACTCCATGCAGTGCACCAGCCTGCACCCCCCAGGTTGCCTTTGATGGGGAATCTGCCCCAGCAGAGATGTCCAGATGTTGCTTTAGACCTGTGAGCAGCTTGGGAGGTCGACTAGGCTAGGACCCTCTATGTCCCCCCACAGGTGCGTGGGCTTAAGGTCTAGACTTGTGGCTGATGAATGTGGCCCGTGGTCAGCAGCTGACAGGCAAGCCGCCACCCCAAGTGGGGCCGGGAACCAGCCAAGGGGCCATCCAGGGGCCCCAGCCATGCCCAGAGTCCCATTGGGGGTCTCAAGCACTGAGGTCGATCTCGTGATGCTGGTAGATCTGGGTGGGGCCCTTAAAGCAAGCAGCAAAGAGGAAGCGTCTGCCGGCGATGGTGACGTGAGCAAAGGCACGGGGGGCCACCAGGGCTGGGGGCCCCAGCTCCTGCAGTGGCTCCAGGAGCCCCTTGTCAGGCTCAAGGCGGAGGACCTGGCTGAAGGCGAAGTCGCTGCCCAGGATGGCCAGCTGGTCCCTGGCGATGAGCAGGGGCTGGAAGACGTGGGCACCTCTTGAGGGAAGTTGCTGCAGCAGACGAAACATGGAGCCGTCCCAGCGCATGACCTGTGGGGGTGTGGCCGGTGAGAGCCTGGGGTCCCGGGGGGGCTCTGAGGGCCCTGGAATAGCTTGGAAGCAGAAGCCTGTAGGTCCCCAAACTCCCACAGCTTTCTTATCTTCATAAAGGTCACCAGCCAGCTGTTCAGCCACACACACGGAGTTCTGAGCCCTTCTCTTGCCCTCACACCCCACACAGAAGCACTCAGCTGTGGACTCAGTTTCACCTACTATAGTTGGACATTTCTCCCACCACCTCTGGCAGCACTCTATCCCCTCCCAATTGGACCATCCTGGCGGCCTCTTTACTGGTCTCGAGGCTCCTCTCCCTGCTCCCTGAGTCTGTTCACCACCCTGTGAACACCTAAGTCAGATCAGGGCCCTTCCAGGCTCAGAACCCTCCCCTGCCTGCACCTCACTGCAGAAAGAGAGTGGGCAGGGCTTAACCCCAGCGTGAACCTGGGGGGGCTCAGTGTCAGGGTGGGGATTGGTGTGGCTGCGAAGTCTGGAATGCATCTGAGTCACAGAGCCAGCATCTGGGGGTAGAATCAGGATGTTGGGGCCAGCGTCAGTGTCAGGGACTGGGGAGTGGTTTGGAGTCAGCCAGCTTTGAGGGAGTCACAGTCTTGGCATCAGTGTGGGGTGGGGTCCTGGTTCAAAGGTCGGCATGTGAGGCTAGGTCAGAGTTTAGAGGCTTAGTGTGCAAGACTGGGTCCGTGCTGAAAAGCCAGCCCTCGAGGCGGGGCTCGGTAGCTCACGCCTGTAATCCCAGCACTTTGGGAGGCCGAGGTGGGCGGATCACAAGATCAAGAGATCGAGACCATCTTGGCCAACACGGTGAAACCCTGTCCCTACTAAAAACACAAAAATTAGCTGAGCATCATGGTGTGCGCCTGTAATCCCAGCTACTTGGGAAGCTGAGGCAGGAGAATTGCTTGAGCCCAGGACGCGAAGATGAGCCGAGATCGTGCCACTGCACTCTAGCCTGGCAACAGAGCCAGACTCCCGTCTCAAAAAAAAAAAAAAGAAAGAAAGAAAAAAAAAAGCCAACCCTCAAAGGCAGTCAGCTGCAGCGTCAGGCCTGGCTGTGCCCCCTCCTCCCCCAGGCCCAGCCTCACCATGGAGTCCCCAATGTAGCGTGTGAGGCACAGGAACACGTCCCCACCAGCCTGGAAGTGGCGTGTGGCGTAGACATCCTCTGCCTCAGGGATGTCCGTGCGTCTCTCGAAGCGGCCACCGGTCCAGTGGAAGAGCACGGGCCGCTGGGAGGCCGAGGCCAGCAGCAGATGGGGCCGGCCGTCCAGCTCCAGGGCCTCGGCGTCCGTGTCCCGGTGCCAGGCGTGCAGGCTCTGGTGCGGGTAAAAGCCGGGCCCGTCGCGGCACAGCAACGTGGTGCTGCCCGCCTTGGAGGCGTCGGCCACCACGAAGCAGGGCTGTCCTTCCAGCCACAGGAGCTCGGCGTCATTGGGCCGCAGCAGCCGCCTCGGGGCCAGGGTCTGCGTCGGGGCCAGGCGCAGGCCGGGGCTGGGCCGGGCCCACAGCTGTGAGCCCCCCCACAGGCGGGCAGCCAGCACGAAGAGGCTGGGGCCCAGCACCAGCGGCTTGCAGGACACCACGGAGGGCGCTGTGGGGAGGTGGGAGGCGGAGGGGCAGGTCAGGCCGGCCAGGCAGGCTGCTGGGCAGGCGGAAGGACGGGGAGGGGCTCACCGGGCAGCTCTTCCTCCGGCCGGAAGCGCTGCAGGCTGTAGTCCCAGGAGAGGATCAGGCAGCGGCTGGCGAAGGGCTGTGCCAGCACGATGTGAGGCTCCCCCTGGTAGGAGAAGAGCTCTACGCTCAGCGCCGACTCCCCCACCGTCTGGAACCAGGACAGCTCTAGGGGTGGAGCAGAGAGTCAGGCAGGCCCCCGGGGACCCAAGGATCCTCATGGCCCAGCCTCAGTTTGCACATCTCTGAAATGGGGCCATTTCATGGTACTCCCCTCATAGGGTCATAGAACTGGAATCTTGATCTGAAGATGTTTGTTTGGTTTGGGGGGTGTTTTGTTTTGAGACAGGGTCTCACTATGTCCCCCAGGCTGGAGTGCAGTGGCACAATCATAGCTCACTGCAGCCTCCTCCTTCCAGGCTCAAGGAATCCTCCCACCTCAGCCTCCTGAGCTGCTGAGACTACAGCCATGCACTACCATGCCTGCCTAATTTTTTTTTTTTGTAGAGACTGAGTCTGGCT